ATGCAGACATGTTCTTGCAGACCTCCAACACAACATCTGCGCACCCAATAGAAAAGTTTATGTTATAAATCTTAGTCAAAATGTTGTCACGACTCACTAGGGGTGTCACGAGTTGGGTTGGTTCGGTTTTAGTCTCAATCTGTAACTCAACTCTCTTGTCATCGAGTCGTACTGAAATTGTCCCCACCCCTAGCTGTCACATTAGGTGTGCCAAGTAGTAAAATAGGCTTACTCTTTTTCTTCTTGGTGAAAGTTCCTGCAACGTGTTTGCTCTTCATTTTTAGCATCACCTGGCCTGTTCGGTGAATATAAACAGACACTATTTTCCAGTGCAGATCGCCTACAAAATGCAAACCATATAATTCAATATTTCAACTTCGGGTACTAAAATTTGTGTTTTTTTGTTTTGAGGGTCAAGTCAAGTTATGGTTGAGAGTTTGACCTTTTCTTGTGCGTTTGAGGAGCTCAGTGCCCCTAGCAAGGAGGTCTTGGTTAGAGACCCCAAGAAAGGTAGTGTCTAGAGGAGAAGGGACAACTAGCTCATCACTAAAGCTGCCATTGCGTTCACCATTATTAGCTTTTCCGCAGACTCCGATTCCCATCCCCTTTTCCACTGGTATCACTGCTGCTATGTTCCACACCTCCTTCATTGCCCTTGCCTTTAGGGTCGCTGCCCCTCTTAAAGCTGCAATCACAGGACACAGATTTCATTTAAAGTACCATTATTGAAGTCTAATTAAACATTGGGTGCTCAAGAAAAATTACATGGTTTTCAATTTTATTACAACCTTAGAAAGAAAATAACAATCATTCATTAAATAGGGTATGTCACAAAATTTGAGTGATTTTTTTTTTTTAATATAAGCATTAGTCTAAACTACACTAAATGAATATAAATTACGGAAATGAAATTCAAACTTGGGTGCAATACGGTGGATAGATTGTCTAGCCAAATGACCTAACTCACGTTTGTAAATTTGAGTAATATTAGAGGCATCATATTTTTAGATGATACCATGTTGATACGGTACATCAATTATTATGACTAGTTGCTAATTAACACATCGCCTAGTTTAGTAATGTGGTCTAAAAATGTAGAATCTTTAGTAAAATTTGGGCAAGATTTTGTCTAGTAATTTATCTAGCAAGAATTGGTACCTGTGGCAGCGGCAGCTGTGAGAGTGGTAATGTCGTCGTGAGAACGAACATTAACAGCAGAGCTAACCACAGAAGTGAGATGGTCATGCTCAGCTCCCATGGCTTCTGCAGCCTCAGCACATTGAGCAGCTACAAGCGTGGCAGCAGATGCCACAGCCATGTCTGTCTTGGCTGCTTGTTCGTTCTTTCTTGACGCTGAAGAAGCCGCTGTGGCTGCAGCAATGGTGGCCACAGCAGCAGCCACCGCGGCAACTGAAACAGCTGCGTGGACCTGTGCATTGTGGACTCTTGTCTCCTCCTTTTTCTTCTCTTTTCTCTCTTTCAGCCACCTCCCCACAGTCTTGGCCCCGCCAGCAGCAGGGGTATTGGTTGCATTTCCGGCACTGCCGCGGCTGCCGTTGAATAGGTTGTGGATGCTGTTGTGGGTTCGAAAGTACTGCGTTCACAAACACAACTCCATCATGATCAAGCAAAAAAAAAGGGTATCTACAAAACTTATGTTATAATTTAAAGAAAATTCTACCTGATTAATGGTACAAATTGAGTTGTGACAACATGACATGCTAGGAGAAAATTTTCCATAAAAAGAATCCATGAATTTTAAAAGGAGTTGATCATTCAAAAGCACCAAGAACTTGGCAGATCAAATGTCATGCTCTATTTGTTGTAGTTTTTTTGTGTTTTGGGCTGAAGGGTGAGTTTTGTTGGGATGTAGTGATGAGCTCTGCAAGCTTAGAATCAGTGCCGGGTTGCTTACAAGCAGCAAATTACTAAAACAAGCAAAGGTGCAGAGAAACAAGACAAGGCAAGAGCTGAAGTTACCAACTTAAGCATATCTCTGGTTTGGTCTATTTTACACTCCACCCTTCTTTTCATTTCAAGAGACCCAATTTGATGCTCAGCTGCTGTCAGCTCATCTTGATTCTTGATGTCTGAGCTCTAGGCAGAGCCTAGACTGGTGCCAAGCTAACTGGCATCCATGTTTTGTCCGTACCCTTTTCTTTTTTAATTCATTTTCTCTTTTGGTTTAGTTATTTTGACTTGAAGAAAATAAGGCTGGGTTGATAAGACATCCAAAACAGATTTTTAAGGAAATAATAAAAGTTTCTTCTATCTTGAAAGGAGAGAAAAGAAAAAAAGAGAAAAGCATCACCTGCATTTTTCTGTGCCTATAAAACATTAATGCAATAAAATAACACAGAGATTACTGAGTAAAAGGACAGAGATGTATGATCAGATGGTGTGTGGGTGACAGAGGAAAACAGAGAAAGCTGAGGGGCATCGTCACATTGGTCTCCTTGTTTGTTTTTCTTCTTGGACAAGAATTGTGGAAATTTAGACCAAATACCATTAAAATAAGGCTACGACTCTGAAGAAACAGAGAGGAAGAAGAAGAAGACCTTAACGACGTCGTCGTATTCCTCAGAGGGAGAAACTGGAGGGCTATCTGTCTCTGTTAGAGAACCACCAGCGTTCAAAGGTCCACTGCTGTGCGAGAGCCTGCCTGATGTTAATGGAGACACGTCCTGCAAAACCCACAAAAACCCAGAAGAACTTTAAGCCAAAAAGTAAATAAAAACAAGAAAGTAAGAAACTTGAACAAATATGAAAGAAACACAAGCACACCTCTCTCATGGACTGAGACATAATGCGATCAAGCACAAGCTGAGAAGTTACAGAGGAAGCAAAGTAAAACTGATGTCCAGAGAGAACAGGAAGCTCCTCTGACTCTCCAGCAATGTCTTCAGGTATAGTGGAAGTGGTGGTTGCGGTGTTGCATGAAGAAGAGCTGTTTGAAGAAGACTTGGAAGAAGCCATGCACGAAGGAGGCAGAGGAAGAGGAGGATGAGACAGAGCTTTGGAGACTTCAAGAGCAGAGGCACTCCAAGACCTTGACAGAAACTCCATTGGAGCTCTTGGGCTTTTGGGCAGGTGGTCAAGGTTGACTGGGTTCTGCTCAGTCCGGCGAGTGTTTAGCATTGGCAGTGTCTCTTCCATGAGAGTGAAATATTGTCTAGAGAGAGAGAGAGGGGTGAGTTTTGAATTTGGTAAAGGGTTTGTGGGTTTTGGGATCAAAATATGGACATATATATATATATATATATACACACAAGGAAAATGTGTATGCCTATTTGGTAATTAATGATCAATAAATCTATGTGCTTATTACTGTGAGTAAGCAAAAGAGGGGATTTATTAGATATGGTCTTTGGTCAAATTGGATGTGGTAAAGTACTTTTTGTGGTGCCACCTGGAAAGATAAGTATTTTATGTTAGCTTTATTTGGAACTTATGATGGTGTGAAAGATTAGTGCATAAATAGCAATTTTGTAAGCATTATACTTGTACAAAAAGAGGTTTTAGGGATGCTTTTAGCCCCCCCTTCTATTGTGTGGACCTACTTTGATCATGTGACTAATCATCTTTCTTCAAAAGAGCTTTTGTATGTTAAAGGATAAAAATGATAGGAAAGTTATTAAACCACTTCACTCTTGAGGCTTCACACACACACCAAAACACAAACAAAAGTGATGAACTCCATTTTTCAACATACCAACTCTGTTTTCTTCCTGCCAACGTGGTGTAGCCCAGTAAAAAAAAAGTATTGATTTGTAAATTCGAAGTCTCAAGTTTGAATCCCCACGACGTCATAGTTGTATGTGTGAGAAATTCTCCTCCTCTCTAGTTTAGACTTTCGCATGTACTAAAAAAAACCCTATGTTTTCTTCCTTTTTGGACTTCAGCCAAATTTGTTAAACATTGATTAACAACATAATTCAAAGTCTCTTCTTTTGGAATCCGCCTCAGATCTTCGTTGTAACTCTTTCTTCTTTAAAAATAATCCATTTACCTACAAAAATAATTCAAAGTATCTCACTCTCATTGCAGCTTCAATGGCGACAGAGGCATGCAAGAATGAATGAGATGTCAGAAGGGCTAATCTCCTTGAGTGGGGGTGACCTAAGTGACTGTGTTTCTTAAGCTAAGGTCTTGGCAACGTCCAAGGCCGACATGTTTGGAGGTCAAGACAAATTTTTAAGTGGAACCATTTTTTCTCTTACTGTTTTGAGAGACACAAAGCTGCGCACTGGAGAGGGACCTTTGCTATAATGCGCGTGCCTGCGCACGTCATCATCTACAACTTTGGCTCTTTCTTGGTATAAATAACACCCTTCTCATAAAAAATCTGACTAACAAAAGGATCGAAAGAAGAGAAGCAGCTTTCTTTTTCACCTGTAAGGCTTTTTTCGTTTCTTAGCCAATGACTGTTGACTAAAGGAACACCCTTTATTCCTTTTGCCTCATTTTTCCTCATAATTCCATGAATCATATTTGCCAAATTGTGTTTTGTATTATAATTCCATTGTTCAAATCTGTTTTGTAGCCTTTTTTGTGTGGAAATTAGAGATGCTAATTGATCTCCTTCAATAAGGGAAGACTTTGAGTACGTCTCTCAATAGAATATTGTGGTTGAAGCTTAATTTACATGGAGACAAGAACAAAAGCTTCAATTAGTTAAGAAGATATAAAGCCTTTTTAACAGACTCATTGAGAGCATACCCCCGGTAGTAGGTACCACCTTTGCCTGGTTGAAAGTTGAAACTACTCTATCAAACTGTTTCTGCAGCCAGAGTTTGCAGATTCTGTCTCCTTTACCACGAAACCAGTAACACAACTTGATTAGTGCAAAACTAGAACAACCCAAAACTTATCACGCGCGGCTGAACATCTTATGGCTTTAGTTTGAAGAATTGCCGGGTATAGTCTCAATCTATCTCCACTTTTTACTTGTAACAAGTTAAGAGAATGGTATGAAGAAGAACACAACAAATAAAATCAGGATCTATGATATGAAGAAGACAAAAGTTTACATGAACCAATGACAGATGAATCTATTTGATCAGTCAAAGTGAAATTAGCAATTGGGAATATACAAATCCAAGGAACACTTTATCTATTAGACTGTAAACCCGTGCCACCATAGTATTGCTTGGTGGTTTCGCGTGAGAAATCTGCAAATGTCATCCCATCCTTCAACCGCAATGCCAGAGGTGGTACAATCTTCTGTATTTCTTCAGTGAGTCTGCTTTGTTCTCGCTCATCGACTTCTTTGATCTCCGTCGACATCCCCAAGTTCATGGGATACTCTGTTATGGAGAAAGTTTTGTTCCATGCAGGCTGCAAGAACACAACAAAAGTCTCTCTGCTCAAATTTTCAAACTTGGACGGTCTTGCAACAGAGTGCAGAGTGGCGCGAAGCTTTCCTCCTGATATGATATCAGCTGACTCCCCAACCTGAACTATAAAACTCTCTGGAGAGGCCTTCACCATGAACACATTATTCTTGATGGGATCAAATATTTGCAAATAAGTATGCCCATTTGGATAGGGGCATTCTTCATCTCTTTCCTCTGTTGCTTCTTGTGCAGAATTGGGCAACAGAAACATTGGAGCTGTTAAGACAGTGAAAATCCCATAATCATAATGCCATTGCTGCCACAGATTATCAGAACCAATCCCTGACAGTTGTTTATGTTCATCACCAATCTGTTTCCCGCTAGAATTGAAGGGTCTTTTTGATGTTCTCTTTGTGCTCATAGCTTCTTTTACAAGAATGGTTTTATCAATTGGGGAATGGTAGTGAATGAGGCGAGCTTTGGCAGTGCAAGATTCCAATAAGCTCTGCTCAAGCTCGTTGCCATCAATGGCTTTGTCACATACTCGAGCAAGCTGGAGCCCAAGCTCCATCATGCAAAACCCTAACTCTCTAAACCCATTTCCAAGATTCTCAAACTCAACCGATCCATGTTCTGAATTCAATTGGGTTTCATCAAAATCATGTGAATATTTGATTTGCATTGCGAAAGATGACACATTTCTCTCAGGGTTTTTCAAAGGCACATCACTCCCCAACTTGTGATCCTAAACAAACACATAATTAATTACTTGGGCAAAAACAAAGTCAAAAAAGATTTTTACTTTTCCTTTTTTGGTGGGAAATTTAGTACCTTGAGAATAGTTTTAAGATGGTTAGGGTTCAAAAGGGCGAGCTTGCGAGCCAGAGGGAGGAGGTCACGACGGAGAGCGGCGGCGTTGGGGACGCCGGTGATCGATAGCAGACCTGGTCCCATGGGCCCTAGGGCTTCCATTATGGCTTTGCTCGTTGACTGCAACTTTTCAAGCTCTTCCGCTGACGACAATGATACATTGTTGGACGACACAAGTACGAGATCCGGGTAGCTGAGCTCGTAGAGTTGTAGGACTTCCGCTTCTTCCATGTCTGTCTGTCTGTGACAGTTTCGTTTTCTCGAACTTGTTCGAATTTAATGCAAGATGATGCAGAATGGGGCCCAATCCAAAATGACCTCACATTATTTTATATTTATCATTTAAAAAATTAGTTATATAATAAGATCTTTTTAGGCTTAATTATTTATGAGAGATGAGTGATGAAAAATCAGAGAGCTTGAAGAATAGGTGAAGAAAACAAGAAAAATAACCAACAAAAGTCACAACCAAAAACCATTCAAACCTGTTTTAGTTTATATTTTACAATTCCACTCACTTTAAACACTTTCGATGCCACCTTCAGCATGAAGGTTTAACCAGCTACTCTTTATGTTTTCGCATTCCAGAAATCAAAGACGGAGAATTTACAAGTTAAAGCAATCATAATGTGAGATTTTGGGACTAGGTTGCAGTCTCTTTGAAGCTCTTGGTCAACCAAATGGCAGTTTCCCTGGGAGAAACCTTCTCAGGTCCGAATGGCTTCAACAGCACCCCAAGCTCTTCGAACCTTTCCTGTTGTAGAAGACGTGCACTGAACTCGAGCAACCCTTCCAATGCCTCTGCACGTTGCTGGAACGATGATGTGTCAAACCGCTGCTGTCGTGACTCAGAAGATGAATGGCTTGAAACACCAGTGGCAGGATTTTGATCAGAGGACTCGCTGCCATTTCGAGCAGCTCCATTGCTGACATCAATCAAACTGCACTTGGCAACAGTTCTGTCAACAACCTGGACCATGCACTTGTCCTTTGTAATGGAGCGGTTGATGCTGCCTGGGGCAGTAGTAGAAGAGCATTGTGCTGATGTTGATGAAGTTCTATGGACAGGAATGAGGGGGTCTTCAGAAGAGGCTAAGGGGAATTCAGCCATCTTATCAATTCGTGGGGCATTCACAGAAACATCTGGAGACTCCACGCTTCCCAAGGGACCTACATGGGGTCTATATGGGGTTTGCACAGCTGCAGCTCTAGTTGAGAACGGAAGAGAAGCTCTTCGTGTTGACTGGGAAGATTTTCTGGCTGGAGAATGTGACACCGGAAGCTGCAATCATAAGAATAAGGGTCAATTAATCAGCAACCTACACATTTCTTCCCCACAAAGTTGTCAAAAGTAATAAATAATCTCACTGAATTGTTAGCCACTTCAGTATGAACTTACTGAATCACGTTTTGAGCTGACGTGAGAAATTTTTGACTGCGTAATCTGTCTCCTAGGATTAGCAGAAACTTTTGCTGGTGTCGATCTTGGAGTATTAACAACGGTGAACTTAGTCGCCACTGACTTTTTGATACCATAATCTTCACAGGCACTTCCAATAGATACTTCAGTGAACTTATGATTTAAACAACTTGGAAATTCCTGCGCCCCCAGGCTAGAACATGGGGAGTCTTGTTCAGTTCCAGAAATACTAGGATTTAAGGTTCTGTCATTGCTGTATGAACGCCTTTTCTCTCTGAAAGTATGTACAGGAATAGCTTCTGGCTCCATGAATCTTGTTTTCGTTATATAACTGGACTGAGACCAGTCAACTGGGAAAGTATTCCGTCGAGGACTATTCAATTTTTTATGAATCTTAAGCACATAAGGTCGAAGATGGGGATGACCAAGCACCTCTGCAGCCTGACAAAACATGGATAAGTTTGTGAACAAATGCACAGAAATCGAATAATTATTTCTATCAACATGCAGCAGCACCAAAACAATTTGTAGTTGTACCCAGGCCATGCCCACAATGGCAACATGGACTTGATTTTGGGCTTTAATCTAGGTTATAAACAAGTCCGTGTAACTCAACAAACATAAATTTATGTGACTTACATGGAGTCAGACACATATTCAGACTTAATCGTAAAAGAAAGTGTAGTCAAGAAAATAGATAAATAGAACTTACACTTGGTCTAAGTTCTGGGTTCTTCCGCAGCATGCTTTTAATAAGACCTCGACTGCAAAGGAAGAAAACAGAGAACATATCAGGGAACCTTTCATTGCATACATACAAATATTTGGGTAGCGGAAGCACCTTCCATTAATTTATCATATTTTAAAGAAATAAATAAAATAAAACCCACTAAATTTCCAATGGCATGTCCAAACTACATATATGAAATTACAATCACCGAAAAAACTTGAGACGGGAGGCACATGAAGAGAGAAATAAACTCACAATGCACCAGAGTACAATGTTGGAAGCGGAGCCACTATTGACTTGTTTATTTTGTTAATCAGAGATTGTATATCCTGTAGTCAGAACAAATTTTATAAGTTATCTAGGAAAAAGTCAACTCCTCAAGCCTTATGATTGTTGTTAAATGCAGAAATGGGGCAAAGAGGTAATACATAATTCATACTAAATGAAAATCCGCAAACTTACAAAGGCTTTAAATGCAGGCCTGTGAGCAGCCATTTCATATATACAGCACCCTGGAATAAGCATTGTATTTAATGTGTATGTGGCTTAAAAGCCAAAAAAACAACAAAAAAGGACGGGCAGGCGTGGAGGGGGGAGATGAACATGCTGATTATGTCAAGGAGATGCTAATGAAAGGGAAAACTTACCTAAAGACCAAATATCTGACTTAGAACCATACGGTATATCGGCAAGAAGCTCAGGGCACATATAACTCGGAGTTCCCACAACCTGTACACGGAGCAGAACATCTTGGTCATGCATAAGCCAGTGTGTAAAATTTAAGATTGCCTTTATCAGGTGAACCACTTACAGAGGAAGCTAGATCGTCAGAAGTTAACATTTTGGCGAGACCAAAATCACCTACATGTATTATCATGTAACTATAAGAGACAATTTCCAACGACTAACTGAACAATGTGTAAACGAACTTGGAATGCCAATTGGCATCAAGGATACAAAAAGAACAATAACTTACCTAGACGTATGTCTTGATCTTTTGTCAAAAATATATTTGAACACTGAAGCAAAGGAACACAGTTAGAGCAAATTCTGCAATTTCAAACATGTAGCTCTAAACAAATCTCTCCCTCAACTTGCCACTGACCTTTACATCACGGTGAAGAATATGGTTGGCATGCAAGTAATCAAGGGCCATCAAGAGTTGAACCAACCATGTACAAAGTTTCTGTGCATTTCCAATTTTCAAGTAAGAAACATAAATTATCACAGTTTGATTAAATATCTAGCACACAATTGTGAGATTTTATAAAACCAAGGGGAAAGTTCGCTGCAAAAATAAGAACCTCTTCTGAAAATTGAACACCATGGGCCTTTTTTACAGCTTCTGCCCTGTACAGCAACAGGCATTGGCATGAAATGATCAGAAAAGCAGCAGAAACAAGGAAAATTCAAATATTTCCTACACTAGTTATGAAGGGATTTGACCAAGAAGCAAAACTCACATGTCTCCTCCTTCACAATACCCTATAACAATGCACACAAAGCAACCCTGAAACGAAGGCATTGAAGCATCAATTGCAGAACTAAAGAATTATAAAGAACATGAATTCCTAGTAACTCATGAGGGCATTAGAAACAAAAGTTATCATGACATACTGACCCGTTCAACCCATGAATCTTTGTACTCCACAATAAATGGATTTTGTACCGTGGAAATAAGCTCCATCTACATCACAACGAACCAAGACAGCTATTTAAAACCCAAATTGGTACATCCACCATTCAAGTATTACTCTACTCTTAGGATGTGCTCATGGATTTAGTTTTAAACCCAGAAAAGAAAAAAAAAAAACACCAACCTCCTGGTGAGCAGATCTGCGGGTTCTATCAGTTTGACGAGCAAGACGGATCTTCTTCAAGACATACCTATGCATGTATGTCTGAATGAATAATGAACTTTATCTCTCAGACTCAAATGAATATTAAAATTGAAAGGGCACTCACTTCTTCTTTTCATGCTTATGCCTCACGAGAAGAGCAGAACCAAAAGAACCTTTCCCAATCTGTTCTAGAACTTCGTACTGCTCCATCTTACAGTTGTATCACTCTCACTCTTCAGTGTTTGTGAAAGACTTTACTCCTTGAAAGAATTAAAAAATACAGCTCATGAAGGATGTCACAAACACATGCTCAAAAAACCATACAAGACTCAACCTTTATCACAAGCCTCAGAAAGGAAACACATGTACAAACAAGCATGAGGTCCTAGGGAGTTAGTAATTAGTGAAAATCATGAAGCAGAATTTGATCAATACAGTAGTGAATCCAACCAAATCAACCCAGTGAGTTTAAATAAGGAATTAATACATGGTAAACCCAACCAAATCAACCCATTGAGCTTAATTAGGGATTGAATTAAATTCAAATATATTTTCAACTAAATCTAAATCCGAACACTCACTATCCAAAATGAACATGTGCATGAATTTATGGGAAGTAAGGGAGATAAAACCACCAAAGGGAATGATTGCATATCAGAAATTGTAGCAGAAAGTAAGAGCAAGAAAAACAGGAAATAAAAAAAAATGTACCAAGAATCAAGAACAAGCAAAACAGCTCCAAGGAAATCGAAGAACAAGTAAACTCCAGCTTGTTCTTTCTTGGTTTAAAACTTAAAGTAGTTATAAAAACAAAAAACTGAACCTTTAAAACGTTAGAAAGAGTATATACTTACTTAAAATTCGGGGACAAAATTAGGAAATTCTGATAAAAGCTCTTCACCTACTTCTCCTAATTTCGTAATTTCCTAATATTATCCATCCATCAGAGAGAGTGAGAGGGTGAGCGGCAAAAGAATTAAAAAGAAAGCAAGCTAAGAAGAATTCAAGTTCAAAATTTGCAGAGAGAGAGAGAGAGTTTGTTTTTGGATTGCAAAAGATTCTTGAGAAAGACTGAAAATCCAGAGGGGACCACACTGCACGGGCAAGGAAGGAATTGAAATTGGGAAAGAGCCAAAAAGGGCTCCACTTCTCTACGCTTTCATGAATTCATACTCTTACGTACTTCAGTCTCCATCCCTGTCCTTCAAACAGACTTCCCTCTTTTGACCCAAAACAGAAACGGACTTTCCTGCCTTTTTCTTTACGCTT